TCCCGCCTCGCGCGCCCCTTTCTGCGTGCATTTAATATACGATACCGACGGAGTAGTAGCGGAGGGCTGCAGAGGAACAGACTTACGCAATCCTTTCACCGTTACTTTGTTCACCATCGCGCCCTACCTACCTAACCGTTCGTTTAAGGATCCCTTTCTCGCCAGGAGCCTCCTGCAATACACACACACGCACACACTCTGTTCCCTTCTCTCTACCCTTTTACAGAAACGATCGTGGTCGCCTATTGGTTTTCAGCTACGATTCTCGCGTTTCGTTTCTTCTCTACGTTACGATTTATCTTTCTCAGGTGAAATCTCCTGGATAGATTCACTTGCTACTGCCGAATCACATTTTTTCTGTAAATGGAAGAAATAATTTTGGATAACAGGTGAAATCTCCTGGATAGACTCACTTGTTACTGTCGAATTCTATTTTAGAAGACGGAACAAATACTTTTGGAAAACAGGGATAAGGAAGAGAGATAGGTAGGAAAGTAGTGAAAAGGTGTGGCTGGTAAAGACTGTATTGTAAGAACTTATAACGAGAAACGTCGGCGTTCATATTCCGAGAACATCGATGCCTACGTATCGCGAATTTTCTGAAGTCAATTCTAAAAATGCTTGAGGCGTTTGGTCGTGGTTTAAAAATAGCGGGAGAAAAAAAGTGCAGCCGACTGCAAAGCCAGCAGACCTCCGTCTCTTCGCTTTTCGGTACTACTTGCTTAAAAGCGAGAGCCACAGCCAGTCCGTGGTCATAGGCGATGAATACGACGAAAATGAGAGAGAGAGAGGGGGAGGGAGAGGAGGATGTGCACGGAAACGTGAGATGTTCTGTCTCGATTGTTTCAGGTCTGTATGATGCCCGGTGCCGGCACCGAGAATATGATTGGAAACAACAGGACCATGGCGAACATCAAGCAAGAAATCGAGAATCCTACCACGCCCACGCAAAACTATCAAGTCTGTTCTCCGACCACCACTCTTCAACATCAAGAGGTATTTTTTCGGACAAGTTGTTTTTTACGCTCGAAAACGTTCTAATTCGTGAGTTTACTCGAAAATGTAAAGTAGCATTGAATGATACGACGGTATGGTTTTTACAACAATAATACAGAGGTACTTTTGTTATATTTCAGGTGATTTGCAGTAAAATAGAAGTGCCGCCAGACTATGGCGGAGGCGGTGGTAGCCCTGGTAGCCCGGAAATGCATCACTGTTCTTCGACTACGCAACCGTTAGGGACTCCAGAGGTACATACGTGATTTGATTAGTTTGATTCTTGCAGAAGATGAGTTTGTACGATTTTGAAATTAGACTATGGGTTTGGTTTTATTTAGGAAGGTATTAAAGAGGAGGATATAATACCGAGAAGGCTTTGCTTGGTGTGCGGAGACGTTGCGAGTGGATTTCATTATGGGGTTGCGTCTTGCGAAGCGTGCAAAGCTTTCTTCAAGAGAACCATACAAGGTAAGGAGAGCTCCTTCGCGATTATAAATATTTCCTTGTCAAGCATTTTCCAGGTAGCACCACGGGATTAATTATAATCGCTTAATCACTTAAACGCTATTTCTATCTCTTTTCTCCTTCTCTCTCCCTCTTTCTCCTTGTCCCCCCCCCTCTCCTTGTCTCTCCTCCTCTCTGTTATATCCTTCTTAGATATTAGAGCATTCTGATAATACGCCTTTATTCATACGTGTCACTATTTGTAAGTGTGTGTGTGTGTGTGTGTACTGATGGAACTAACATTGGTGCTACCTGGAGGAGAACCACGTATATTACAATAAAATAGCGAGTAATTTCACAGGTAACATCGAGTACACATGTCCAGCGAACGGGGAATGCGAGATAAATAAACGTAGGAGAAAAGCTTGCCAAGCGTGCAGGTTCCAAAAGTGCCTTAGACAAGGCATGCTGAAAGAGGGTGTACGATTGGATCGTGTTAGAGGAGGGAGACAAAAATATAGAAGATCCACCGATCCCTACCCTCTGGTGAAAACAGCTCCGTTGGAAGGTAAATTTTCTTCTTTTTTTACTTTAAATAATCCTTGCATTTATTAATATATATCTCGTTTCGATCGCGATCGCATCAATATAGAACACGTACAACAATCACATACATATCCCGATAGACACAATTATAAATCTTTAATATTTTATTCTTTCTAGCAAACGTAGCGACAGGAGCTTCTAACGAAATAATAAGTAAGCTATCGGCTCCTTTCATTTTATTTTATTCGAGTCGAGATTTGAATTCGCTTCAGTTTTAGAGTTTTCTTCTTACTACCGTGACACGAAATATATTTTTTCCAACATGTAGAAAATAAACGACAGTATGAAATGTTTAAATGATATAAGGATTTCATTTATCGATAGATAATAAAATGCTGGAAGTTCTGACTGCCTGTGAACCCGACATGCTACAAGTGTCCAATCTCTCTTATACACTTGATACGGATCAGAGAGTGCTTGGACAGTTATCTGACTTGTACGATCGAGAATTGGTTGGAATAATCGGTAATATGTTTTAATTATTTAATTATTTATACGAATACGAAGTCATGTTTAAGACTGAACTCGCTAATTTATCATTGTGCGAATGAATTTTTAAGGTTGGGCAAAACAGATTCCTGGATTCGTTAGTTTAGCTCTAAACGACCAAATGCGACTTTTGCAAAGTACATGGGCCGAGATATTGACGTTTAGCCTCGCATGGAGAAGCATGCCAAATAATGGTAGATTAAGGTTTGCCCAAGATTTTACCCTCGACGAGCGACTTGCACGCGAATGTCATTGTTTAGATCTATACACGCATGTGAGTATCATCGTAACATCGTTTCGATGCTATCCATTTAACGTTCTTACTTACTTTCTCTTCTTTTTCTTTTCAAACAGTGTATTCAGATCGTCGAAAGGCTTCAACGATTGGGCTTAACCAGGGAGGAATATTACGTGTTAAAGGCATTGATACTGGCAAACAGTGACGCGAGGTCAGACGAGCCGCAGACGCTTTATCGCTTCCGAGATTCTATACTAAATTCCTTGTCAGATTGTGTGGCGGCGATACGACCAGGACAAACGCTTCGTGCCATTCAAAACATGTTCCTAGTGTTGCCCAGTCTCAGGCAGGTTGATGGAATTGTTAGAAAATTCTGGTCTAGTGTCTATCGAACGGGAAAAGTACCGATGAACAAGCTCTTCGTAGAAATGTTAGAAGCTGCCTACTATCGATGAAGTACACACCATCTTGAACTCAATTTCAAATAATATCCGTATTAAGGACTTGATAGAATCGCTGTTACCAAACACGTGGTATCAGCGTTATACTTCTAACACGTTGACAGTGAGAGTAGGGCACGCGTTCCGTCGCGTCCCTTACACAAGTATAAGCGGAAGAGACAGTGAGTGATAGTGAAATGCAAAGAAAAAGAAAAAAGAAAAAAAAAGGAACGGAGATTGTGCAATTTTATTCGTTTTCTTTTCAAGAGAAGGACTCATAAACAAAGAAAAAAAGGGCTTTATTTTTCAAATGCGAAAGTGTTGAAGCGTTAGAGCTTTGGCGAGTGGATTCCAGCAGTCGTCGAAACTCGCGAAACACCTTAAGATAGCAGGCACACTATTTCGTCGAAATAACCAAACTTTCCTTTTCGAGTACCCCTTTTACAGGTACAGAGAAAACAAAAGAACGATGTTACGTAGTATGATACGTAGTACAAGACGCGAGATGCTTTTTCCCGGAGCTCTCACTTTAGGATAGTTTATGAAAAACCTGTCGACAAGACAGATGAACCTACCAAATAAATAAAGAAAAAAGAAACGTTTTCATTTACGAACTGATCGGTAAGATCGCTACACCGAACCGGTGATATCGTAGAAATCAAACGCAAATGTACTAACTGTGGGTGTTTGACGTTATAGAGTTAGCATCGTGTTACCAAATACTACCAGTTCAATCAAAATTACCTGTAGCTCCGATTCGAATCTTATTTTACTTATGTCTTTATCTCTGATGAAAGAAAGACGAAAAAAAAAAGAAAAAAGAAGAAAAAAGAAGAAAAATGAATCCAGTCAATTTGAAGCTAGAGGAACGTCGCGAACTCTATATTTTTAATAGCGTCGATGAGAATTGGTACGTCATTTTATATAGAGTAACTGCACATTTTAATACTGCTAAGTGTAAAGACCGATAAATGTAAAATCGATGTGTGTACTGCATTGAACATCCATAGTTATATATAGTTCAGCGAATGAAGTTAGCATGTGTCGTTGTACAAATTGAACCAATTATATGCGAACAGAGCTGTGAACAGTGAGCAAGGAAAAGCGAAAGAATGGCTGGATCGTTCTCTAATTAGCGCCATGCTGTTTTTTACGAGGTATCGTGGAAATCATGTTTCGAGAACGAACCTTTGGCCAGGTTGCCAGGTTCTTAGGAAGAGCAGAGAAAGAAAAAAAAAATTAATAATGAATTTAATCGATTGTTGAAATGATTGCGAAATGTTATTCGCGCGTGCCACACAGAGAGCGTAGGCGAATATATATTATATTATATTATTATATTATATTATATGTATTCAGGGATCTTTATTATCTAGTTATTATTGTTACGAGATCTGTGCACGGATCTTGCGCATAATATCGCTTTCTTCGAAGCGAGACATCGTAATTATCGTATAGGAGCTACTACTCACACGCAAAAAAAAAAAAAAAACAAAAAAACAAAAAAACAAAAACGTTCATTTTTAAAGGGAGGAAAAACCGTGTTTACAACAAAATTAACGGAGTCTTTTTATTTGTCGATTACAGACGCGAACAAGATGGCGCAAGGTTTTCGTCGATATTTACGATCAGCCTTTTGTTAACTCGCGGGTTGAAAACGATAATTATAAACGGGGGAAAGAAAGAAATTATTTAATGGAAAGTTATAAATAAATATAAAAGTAAATTAGTTGTTAAGAAGATCGGGATCGATCGAAACCTTGTGCCGTTGACGCGAAATTTCGGAATGTGACTGTTCAAGAGTGCAATATTTAACAGGACATGCGATTACATTTCACTTTCTCTCGGTCGAACGATCGCGACGTCTTTTTAAGTTTTTTCTTTCTTTTTTTTTTAATTCTTTTTTTCTTTCTTTTTTTTTTTTAAATAATTTGTGTATTACGTATCCGTTCTTCGAACATTTGGAAACTTTGTTTAATCTTCCTGCATTTAAATACACGATGCAAATAGTTGACAAGTGGCGCTTACGTGTTGCGTGCCCTTCCTCCATTAGTTTCTCTCGATTATCTTTAACAACGGTTCGTTCCTCACTGTGTGAAACAGACGGCGCAACGAATGTGCGACGGGGGACGACAAAGAAAACAAAAAAAAAAAAAACAAAAAAAACAAAGAATCAGAAAAAAAAAGAGAAAAAGAAAAAGAAAACGAAAAAAATGGCTGTTAAGCCACGGCGAATTTGTGTTTCACGTTTCTTCTCAGCTTTTTCTGTTTCATTTTTTTTCTCTTAAATAAATACGGTTCGCTACACTGCCTTTCAGATTGTAAACTTCGGAAAAGAATCAAGCGTCGATCGTTTATCGGGGATGATGACGATGATGATATTGGACAGATATTAATTCTAACGAAAGTTTGGGACACTTAATCTTAGTTTACGCGAATATTTGCCAGGGAATTAGTAGTCTGTGTTGGGAACGGCGCTTTGTCACGTGTTGATAGTATCGCCAGGCGTCGTTCGTTTCAAAAAGTAAATGAAAGTTGTTCAGTATCGATGTTTGCTTCAGACAGCGATACTATTAATATAGAAAATAAGAGATATCAGATTTGTGTATTAATTGAGAGAGCGAGTAGATAATGATTAGTTTGAAAATATTTCAGTTTTATTCGTGTCAAAATATATCAGCATCTTTTTTTTTTCTTTTCTTTTCTTTAATCACCACAGCCAATGGGCGGCTCCTCCATCGAACTGTGATATACGCGCCCTTTCGGGTACATTAATTGTCTCGTTGGCGCAAAATTTCTTTTAAAACGTTCACAAAACGTTTCTTTCTTTTTTCATTATTTTTTTTTTTCCCGTCGATCAGCACGTCGTGCGTGTTTTTTTTTCTGTTCTTTTTTTGCGAAGAAGCAACTATTTCAAGCGAACGACATTTGCAGAGGCCTAAAGACATCTTGGCAGATATTATTATTTCGTTGCTAAATCGATCGATCGATCATTGCGGAAACGACGAGACGTTAGGCTTGATGTTTGATTAAATGATAAAACGGAAACGAGAGAGAGAGAGAGAGAGAGGCGAGTCGATTCATCCTCTGGTGTGCGCTGCGCGATCATTGAATTATAAGAGGAACAGACAAAAACAAACGAAAACGAAAAAAAAAAACATTTTTACGAATCTGACTTGACGCGTCGCGGTTGTGGACGTTGGATTTTCATGACTTTTATAAGCATTTTCTTCGTAATATATATGTGTATTTCGATTCGCCGTGGTGGTAGAATCGTAGTCTCAGGGTTTCAACAAACAACCAACAAGTAAACAAATGATACAAATTTAGACACATATAAATAGTTAAGCGCGCGATTATATTTGTGGAGCAAAATATTATAATAGTAACGATATAGTAATAAACGATGGGTATGATGATGATGATGATAATGATAATAATAACGATAAAGGATATTCATATTAATATTAATGATGATAATGATGATGATAATAAAGATAACGATGAGAAGAAACTACACTGTACGGTGAATTCTTACATTTTGTAAAAAAAGAAAAATGGAAAATTTTGCGTGTTTGCTTCTTTTCGTGATCGATGCGCGTGGCACCCGTCGAAATAGAAAGAGAAAGAGAAGAAAAATGAATATTTTGATGTCACTTCTTTCTCACGCGAACCTCTTTTACTTCTACTTGTTCATCTTTGCGGTACGAAGAACGTTTGTACGCGTAGTTTAACAAATTTCAACCGCATTGTATCTTTCTTGCATGAAGCGTGGGTCGCGCAGCGTGAGGAACGCTTCTTTTCGCGAGGAACTGCGAGCGGCGCGCGTGTTACGAGAGATGACAAATGGGATCGTGGACCTGAAACCTTTCATACATCATACAGCTGGCACTGTTTACAGCGTAGCTTTTCTTTCATTCTCGAAAGTATCAAGTGATTCTTCGGAAAAATCCTTTCTTTGCCCATTTCGTTCCTTCGTCCGTTTGGACGTATATACCTCGCCACAAACCACCAGTCATAAATTGTACCTGCTGCGAAGAAACGCTGCTTCTGCGACCATTACAAATATCTGTACAGATTCTAACTGTAACTATTAACTTTTATATACGCGAACGAGACGACTATGTATATATAACATATATGTTTCGTTGAAAGAACGTGTTAGAGTTAAAACGAGAATAGAAAAATAAAACGGGGGAAGTAAGCTCGATTCGTTTATTCTTGATATACATCCAAAGATCTATACAAGTAGACACTGTCACGTGTCGCGAAAAAGGAATTCGCGGACATAGTCACATTCAGAAATGTGCCGATTCCGACGAAATAGAATATAGCGCCTTGCCTCAGTTGGCCTAGCGATCATGTCGCGAATACTGGTTCCATGTCTGTTTCTCTATTTGTCAACGTTCGTTCTCTCCATCTTCACCAGTAAGTTTTCTTCACCGTACTTGTAATGCCTATATAATACGAGAGAGAAAACGAATGAAAATTACCTCGCAGAGGCAAGTTCCTACGTGCTACATGACGATTGTTCGGAGTTCGATATCGGCGAACTGGAGGATTACCTGTCTACGTTGAACTTGGAGAATGTTCCAACGATCGATATGATGATCGGTGGATTCGAATGTCCGGTTACAGCTTTACCGTTCGGCGCGTTGAAATCGGACTGGGCTAGGCTAATTCTGTTACGGAAAGCACAACCGAAGGGGTCGATTTTTTTCGAGAAACTGGGTCGTCTTTTTCGAATTTTAGCGGTGGCTTACTTCCGGATGGAAGAGAGTTTCGGTGGTACCGGAGGTAGATTTCAGAGCAGGTTAGTAGAAGAATATCTTATACAGTGGATGATCGAATTATTGGAGACAGTTTTATTTATTTATTTATACGGGAGTATAATACATGGCAATAGTGGCATAGTGAGGTAGGAATTTATATAAAATGAATATAATGATTAAAGTAGTTGGTCGTTTAAGTGGCAAGCTAAGCAGCGATCGTTCAAGTGGAAGGGTCTATACATGAGATGGCATTATTAACATGAATAATCATTCGGTTGATACCAGTATGGTAACCTAATACTGTTTTATGTTGTAACGATTAATTTTTCGATTAACACTAACGCAGGCAGTCAAATCATATCTTTCTGAAAGGAACACAGATGATTGTCAATTGAATGTATAGTTGGGGCCACGATATAGCGAGGTCGTAAATTAAACTCTCAAAAATCGGCATCGA